AGGTAGAAGCGCGAGTTTGAAGTCGAGACCGGCGGGACCGTGGGGTGACGCGGGGGGTGGTGGGGCGGCGCGGGGGCGCGCGGATGCGCGCGAGGCGAGGCGGCGCGCGAGCGCGAGCGGCCGCGTACGGGCCGCGCTCTCGCTCGCCTCGCAGTACCGCGGCGATCCCCGAGTCAGGAGCGCCCGCCGTCGTCCTCCCCGTTGCTCCACACTCGGCGTCGACGCTCGCGCGGCATCGCCGGGTCCCCGTGCGCCCGTGGCGAAACAGGGGGAATTCGCGGCGGACGCGAGGAGGCCGCGCGCCGCGCTGCGCCGCGCCGCGCCGCGCCGTCGTGAAACGTGAGAACCACTCTCTCTCTGCCGCCTCGCTTTCCGTGCCCAAATTCGTGCGCGTCGCCGTCGCCGTCGTCGCGGCGCCTACGGGAGGCCGAGAGGATTCCCGGAGCGATCGCGGCCGGGAAAAGGGAGAAATCGAGAGAAGGTAACCGCGTACGCGTACGGCGTACCTGTGCCGTTCGATATTAACCTCCCTTTCGCGCGTCGCGATTCGCAGTACGAAATCTTGACCCCGCGATGGCTGTGTGATATATATATATATATATATATATATATACACGTATACGTGTGCGCGAGGTGTTTTCACACGAGTACTCCTGCCCACTCGATCGTCGGCCCGCGCCAGCCCGGAGCCAGCGGTGAAAGGGGTTGCGGACGGACGGTGGGAGCGAGAGACGTCGAAGGTGTCGGAAAGGTAAGGCGGCCGAGAAAGAGTTATATATATCTATACATACGAGCGGCTGCGGAGCTCGCGAGAGTATACGCGGTATACTCGGATCTCCCTCGGCAATGCGTCTCCGAGTGGCTGGCGCTCGTTTCGTTCCGATGCCCGCGGTTGTCTTTGCGGAGGACGTCTCGTGTCGGCGCGCGATCGCCCGCGACTCGCGATCTTTGTAATTCGATCGGCGACCACGGGGGGACAAAGGGGGGGGGGGGGAGTGAGAGAGAGAGAGAGAGAATAAAAGTGTCGCGCGATCCGCGAGATCGTACGCCGTGTTTATTGCGAAACAGGATCGCGAATTTAGAGCGCGAGACACGTTCCCCGCGTATCGATCTCTCTCTTTCTCTCTCTCTCTGTCTTTCTCTCTGTCTCTTTCTTTTTTCCGAGCCAGTGTGCCTTCGAACGCCGAATTTTTTGCGGTCGCATCGAAATACGTTCGAAAAAGTGTGTGCAAGTTGCACAGAAACAAGGGATATTCTCTTGAAAGTACGTTGAGTTTCAGCGTGAAAATCTTGAAATGAGATTAATGTTGCGTTAAGGGAGGGGAGGCTTACTCGAACGAAGCAATTTTGTGTAACTCGATCAAGAAATAACGAAAAAAAAGGAGCTCTAAGCCGTGACAGGATATTAGTGTCGAATAAAATTTTATTGTTATATTAGCATAAGTAATAATTATACGTTTCGGTCGTAGAATCGACCATCTTCAGTAATTTAAAAGATTAATCGATCAAGAAAGATGTATGCTCGCTATTTAAGAATCGTTCTCTCGAATGGAAAGGAAACAACGTCGGGCAGAAAATAACGCGTTTCCAATCCGAGGATCGTAATGATCGAGACGATTTTATTGTCAAAACAATCGTACGAATTCTCAAAGTGACAATTACAGCGTTTAAACGAGACTGTAATATTGTCGGAGTGCAAGATCACTTAAACGCCTCTAAGAGGACTACAGGACCGTTGCGTATGTACGAAACAATGACGCGTTAACTTGAGTATATAAGAGTTGATCTGACACTTATTTCTTTTTTGCTGTCCGACAAATCGTACAATCGTGCACCGTCGGCAGATTTTTCAAGCGTATCGACTCGATTATGCAAAATGGAACGTTTCTAATCGCAAAGACACGCAGTGTAGGTCAGACTGCAAGGCTAATTTGTTTTCGGCAACATTCGCGCGTTCTCTCTCTCTCTCTTTTCCGTGCCCGAGGTATGCGTGCTGCGGTTTCCACTTTTTCCCCTCCCCTCCCCCCCCCACGCCGTCGAGCTCGCCGGTAGAAATGTCAGCGCGCTCCACTATTAGCGTGATTCCCTTCGCGGTACTTTATATACCGACGATAAAAACGGTCTAGTCGCAGCCTCCTTTTCGGCGTTGATACGCGAACGTTGGAAATACATTTTGAACGTTGATTAAACGGTCTCGACGCGATATACTGATTGCGAGTAGACGCTTCTTGGGATCGCCATTTGTGTCGGCGCGATATAAATATTTTTATTCCCCCCCCCCTTCGTTTGCACTCTATCTCGATACTCTCCAGCAAGGGGGTGACCACTAGCTAAAATGCGAGGGGGAAACATACAGATTTCAGGCATTACTGGGCATTACTAGGCATTTTCTGGGCATTAGGCCTTGCTGGGGCATTATAAAGATGAAATAAGATATAATAAGATAAAACAAGATAAAATAAGATAAAGTAATGCCCACTGGGTATTAGTGGGCATTGGTGTACAAGATTTTCAATGCCAAGATGGTGTACAAGATGGTCAATGGCTTTCCCCTCGCCTCGAACCTTCAAGAAAGGTGTCAGACGAGGGGTAAACCGCTGAGGACATTGCTCTCTAAAATTTGTGGAGTGAAAATACCGCCATGGAGTGAAATGTTCACCCTATTGGCGTGAATATTTCCTCCAACAGAGTGAATATTAACTCCAATGGGGTAAACATTTCACTCCATGGCAGTATTTTCACTCCACAAATTTTAGAGAGTGTGGTGTACAGTTTCGCGGCATTACTGGGCATTACTAGGCATTCTTTGGGTATCGAGGCCTGTGTCCACGACGCTAGAACTTGCAGCTGTTCCATAAAAGCCGCAAGCTGATTGGCTACGCATTTCTCGGTTATCAGCGGGCGCTGGTGTACAAGATTCTGTCAGCGGTTTCCCCCTCGGGTGTAAACTACGATATACATTTGGTTATTTACCGAAAGAAGTGAATTTTTTTGGAAAATGAAAACAAGCTGAGAAAATGTTCAAATTTTACGTTGCCTAACAAGCGTAGAGACTTGAAAATTAAGACGAAACGATGCACGCGGGGATTTCGTGAGGATTTCATAATGATTTCGAAGACACTGTCCCACGATTACGTCAAGTGATTACCCCCTTGCTCTGCAGTGGCTTAAATCCGTCTTTCAGCCGTTTAAAAGATACGTTCGACGTGTTATTTTTTTTTAAATATCTGTCGTCTCACGTATCGCTTTTTGCCGCCATCAACCGGCGACGACACCTGATACGCGGCCGCGTCTGACGCGAGAGAGAGAGAGAGATCGTCGTGTAACTCGGGTTACATCCGCGAGTTAAGGTTATTATTACGCAGTAACTATTACGTATTCGCGCGATGCGCAGCTCAGATTTTGGCGAGGGGTAGATTCCATTAACCACGGTTCGGAACCCTAAATCCGAGTTCGCCCTGGTCTCCATATACACCCACACACACACGCGCGCGCGCGCGCTCACACACACCCAGCGTAACATGGTTCCGTCTCAGATTCCTCAACGTGCGCGGCTATTAATTCCCCGAGGCTAATTATCCGAGACGTGTATGAAAACTTAGTTTCCGTAGAATTGTATGTAATAAACAGCACGCCGGTCAAATTTCGTCTTAGCTACGAGGAAGTTGGCTCGAAAAGTGCGACGAGGCCGACACGCACGGGAACGACTGTCGCGTTGAGAGTTGAGGCACGGACGATTGAGAGGATGTTACTTCTCAACTCGTTCTCGAGGCGAGACACGCGTTACGAGAGATAATCGCTCCGGCGTATTCCTCGGTGGCGGATTGGCGGGGGAGGAGCGTCGCGCGCCGCCCTTGCAAATTCATGCAAAGCTTTTCTTTTCGGACAAGATTCCCGGGCTTTTCATTATTTACGTGCCGGCAAGTAATCAGATTTGCGACAACTTGTTGCTTACCGGAAAGCGCGCGTGGAAAGGCGAAGTTCGAAGACACCGTGGCGGAGATTCGCGCTAACGGACCGACGAGAGATACAAGGGAAAGTGCGAGAGGGGGGGAGAGAGAGAGAGAGAGAGAGAGAGGGTGAGAAATCAGCCCCCGCGGCCATTAAATTAATCAGCCGCCCGACCTGGGAAAACCAGCGCCAGGCCCCCCGTCCGAAGTCTGAAACTCCTTCATCATCCGCGATCGTTTGTACACCGCTGTCGCATTTCCCTCGGTCGCCGTCGCTTCTACTTGCCGGGGACGACGGCGATGACGACGGAATAGGGTCACCGGGGCTGAAAAACGAACGAACGATCCCGCGACGATACGGGCGGACCGGGCGGAGGGCGCGGAGGGCGCGGAGGGCGCGGAGGGTGCGGAGCGAGGCCGGGGGTGTCGGCTTACGAGCGGGAAACATAACTCGCAACTTCCCTCGTACGAGTCTCTACTCCGCGCCGGCTCCGGTAATGAAACATAATGAATTGTAAAGCAAAAAGGAATTTTCAGTTACCCTGCAGCTGCCGTTGCTGCTCGCGGGGGTGGCTCGCAGGGACCCGCGGTTAAATAATGTTCCACGGCCCGTGTACTCTCCCGGTCTTTCTCTCTCTTTCTCTCTCTCTCTCTCTCTCTCTCTCTCTCTCTCTCTCTCTCTCTCTCTCTCTCTGTCTCTCTGCGACGAGACCACTTCCAGCGCTCGGTTTCCCCGAAGTCGTCGAGTCCGACTCTCGGAGCGAACTATAATTACAGATTTTTACCTCGCGAATCGAGGCCGGCCTCCGTCTACATGTGGGGCGCCTACCCTGCGTAATTTCATACATTTTCGCGCAAAAAAATAATAGAGATCCCTACCGGAGACCTCGAGGGGTAAACCGCTGAGGGCATTGTGGTGTACAGATTTGCGGCATTACTGGGCACTTTTTGGACATTAGTTTGGGCATTAGGCCTCGCTGGGGCATTATAAAGATAAAATAAGATAAAACAAGGTAAATAAGATATAAAGATAAAATAAGATAATAAGATAAAGTAATGCCCACCGGGCATTAATGGGCATTGGTGTACAAGATTTTGATCAGCGGTTTCCCCCTCGCAAGACCTCATCTCTTGAGCGACGCGAATCGGGGTAAAACGAAACTCGACGACGTATTGTGTTTTGCAAGAGACGAAAGAAAATTCGAAGACTTCCATTTGCTCGTTGGGGAAAGATTAGCGCGACTAAGCTTCCTTTTCGTGATTTAACTCTTTTTCCTCGGAAAATAAAAGATTCCGCGACAAGCCGGGATTCCGCTATTAAAACTTATTGTTGGAAGACCGTCTTTTACGATCGATAAAAAGTTAAACGCACTTGGGAATAAAATTACACGCGCCTTTTGCATTTTGCATCGACCACGCGAACGTTCGCGATAGTGGAAACTATATTTGTATCCCAGCACGACGCGCGACGGTGGATAATGCATCGAATCGCGGATCCTCCTCGGATCCGGTTTCTCACAATTGCGCGGCGCATTGTGATCGATACCGAATCGGGAAGATGTACCGAATAATGCTGAACACCGAAAGTTCCGTGGAGTTGGTATCCACGCTGCGGCGCGGCGCGGGCGGGGAAACGCTCGGCGGTGGATTCCAAGTTCGCGAGGAGTTTCGCGCGAGGGATATAAATATTTTCCGTGTGCTTTTCATTAAGTGTTCGTTTACTTTTTAGTCCCTCGTCAGAAAGACCAGCGGCGATACGCTCGTCTTATAAACGGGAATGTTGCGTTTACGGAGAGAAGCTCTCCCGTAAATAAGCAGTACTTTCTCGCGATACTTCCGAGCGGACGACTCGCAATGTTCACGCCATAAAGATATTTATACAAATTTCACCTCGCGTGACTCGGGACGATTTAGGGCCAGTTTCACAAATGTCGTTTAACCGCTAACCCATGGTTAATTGATCCTCTGTCTCTTCTTGGATAACAAGATAAAGAAAGATAGGAAGATGACTGAACTCTGGTTAACAGTTAATCGACGTTTGTGAAACTGGACCTTAGCTGTCACCGCACCTCTGTGAAGTTGGCACCTCATGTCTCAAAAAATCTTTTTTTTTCAGTTCTGAATGCACCCCGAAGAGTTCTAGAGTTCCTTATCAATTTTGAAAATAGTTCTGGCGAATTAGCCTAAAAAAGTTAAATTTGAAACTTGGGGATGCTAACTTTGCAAAATGAAATCTCGAAATCAGCGATAACACTAAAAGTATTGGAAATATTTAATTTTGCCATTAGGATTTCCTTTAGAACTCTTGAGGGGCTACCCAGAACTCCCGATAGAACTGCTGGAACTGTTAAAATATTTTTCTCCTTCGGGACTTAGAAATTTTTCGGACCCAAGTATGAAAAATCGCGAGAACTTTTTATTCGTTGTAGCGCTTCGAGCCTTATTAGTTTTCGATAGAACTCTTGAGGGGCCACCCAGAACTCCCAACAGATTTTTCACACTTCGGTTCGAAAAATTTCCAAGTCCCGAAGGAGGAAAATTTTTTAACAGTTCCAGCAGTTCTGTTGGGAGTTCTGAGTTGCCCCTCAAGAGTTCTAAAGGAAATCCTAATGGCAAAATTAAATATTTCCAATACTTTTAGTGTTATCGCTGATTTCGAGATTTCATTTTGTGAAGTTAGCATCCCCAAGTTTTAAATTTAACTTTTTTAGGTTAATTCGCCAGAACTATTTTTAAAATTGATAAGGAACTCTAGAGCTCTTCGGGGTGCATTCAGAACTGAAAAAAAAGATTTTTTGAGACATGAGGTGCCAACTTCACAGAGGTCCAGCAATGCCCAAACTAATGCCTCAAAAATGCCTAGCAATGCCCAGTAATGCCGCAAATCTGTACACCTCAATGCCCTCAGCGGTTTCCCCCTCGATTTTGTCGTACAATTTTATCACCAAATGCAATGATAATCACTGTTCCATTCTGATACTTTTCGTTCTTGTTTTTACACGAAAATGTGTAATCTTTTTTTATATCCGAATGTCTTCTGCGTAAACATATGTTTCCCATGTAAA